CGTGGAGTTAAATTAGGAGAATATCATGTGATTTGATTTCCTTAGTCCGTGGAGTTAAATTAGGAGAATATTATGTGATTTGATTTTCTTCCGTTTTTAACCAGTTTAACCTTCTGTATTTAACGTTAATGCCGCTTGAATACAGCTAAATACATGTCAAACTTAGCTGGAATTCCAGTTTTTACGCCTATTTTTTTGGTTGTATTAATGAATACAACAACTTAAATACATAAAATATATTGTATAAAAACATAAAAGGTATTTATAACACGTAATATAGCAAAGAGTATCTATAAATGGCTAATTAGACTTAAAAGATGGTGCTTTATGAAAAATTCTCATTTCTTAATCTATGTGAAAACATCTAAAAAATCACTTATTTTGGACCGGAGGAAGTAATACATTGATAATTATTCGTATACTTTCCGGTAAGTTTTACTAATAACTAATAAAGTATTAAGCAAATGACTCCTAATATGTTTTAATATAGACTCGAAAAAAAATAAGAAATCTGGATAAGGATATGATCTGGTTTACTTATATGGATTGTTGACAAAATAGTACTCAAAATCAAAATAATATACGAGCTTAATAAATTTTGGCTTGTGAAGATAAAAGAACAAAGAAATGGAGGTGTTTAAAAAATAGTTTTTGTTAATAATCAAGTGAATATACACGTTAGAATCAATTATTTAAATAAACAAAAATGAATTCTTTAAATTAATCATATTATGTTGAAGTGGCTTCCGTGGAAGAAAAAATGCGGGAGGCAAGGATGAGATGGTTCGGGCATGTTAAGAGCAGAAGGATAGAAGCTCCAGTCAAAATGTGCGACGGGTTAGCCTCAGTGGGTATCAGGAAGGGTAGAGGTGGGCCTAAGAAGTCTTGGGGCGAGGTTATTAGACGAGACATGGCGCAACTGGAGTTGACTGAGGACATGGCCTTAGGTAGTGGCGGAGCCACATTACTATATTGCTAGATAAAATTTTTTATTTTATGTATATTTACTATACATTGACTTTTATATTTATAAAGCCTCAAATTGGGGGTTTCTCAAATTGGGGATTAGGAGTTCTCTCAAAACTGATCATATTCAAGAAACCATGGATAATATGGATTCCATATTATTCGCAGGTTAACCCATTTGTTATCCGTATTAAATATGGGTCATGTCGACTAATTTGTTCATTTTTGCATTACCCATTCTCCAACCGTCCCATATCTGACCCGCCCATTTGCCACCCATATTATGTTTTAAGCAACGATCATGAATGTATTCCGGATTTATTTTCGTTATGAATTGGACATAGATTCTTTATATTTTCTGAAATAAAATTTATATACTTAGAAACTACATAAAATGTACAACTATAAATTACAAAGTTAACAATTTAAAATATTTAAAAAAATATTTACAAAAAATATGGTCAAAGAAAATCTTATTTGACTCTCCCAATAATAAAAAGTTCATTCCTTTTTAAACTAGAGGAGTATACATTAGAGAGGTTATAACGATTCAGAAAATCTGCACAAATTAAGATTCTAGAAGGAGAAAAAAAAACCCAAAATCATACACCTTGTTGGAATTAATACAAGATACCAAAAATCAATACACTGAATCAGAATTTAACAAAAATATCATACAAATCCCTCATTCAGACTCGACATATGGATACAAAAAAATCAATTTTCTTCAATATACATTCCTAATTCCCTATGATATTTCATCAAATTTTTACATCAAAAGCAGATACATATGGATCATACACCAATCTGTTCAACATCTCAGAAAACAAGTTCATTCCAATTTCAAAAGTCACAAAAGCATCAATACAAGCATACTCCACCTGTTCATACAATAATTCCTCAGCTTCCCATTGACTCAACGTAATTTTCAACGGCTTCTCCATAACTTTACCAAGAACTTCATACGCCATTCTCTTCAATCCCATTCTCTTCAACCCCATTATTCCATACTCAGGCTCGAATTTACGTACAACCAATGCTAACTGGTACAAATCCACCGAATTCGCTACGAACAACCCGTGATCTTCGAACAATTTGTAAACGTCGCCCTGAATACCAACACCAACGAACGTGAAGTTAGGGTTTGCGAGAAAAGCACGGAGAGAATTCGGGATGCAATCAGCGTGAAGAAGTTGAAATAAAAGGCAACGACGGCCGACGCAGAGTTGGAGGAGAGCGATTTTGGGGTTGTTTTTATCAGTGGGGTTAATACAGGCGAGCCACTCAATGTCTAGACCAATAAGGAGCTTGTGGAGTCTACGCCGGTGAATGTGGATTGTTTGGCCAATCCATTTATCGACGTCGGCGGCTTTCTTTGTAACTGTTACTTTGATTTGGTTTTCATAGAAAGGAACAGTGAAGAATAAGGTTCGGGAGATTAATTCGGCCATGGGTTGGAAGAGAGAAAACTGAAATTCTTTTGGATTGAAATTTTATTGTGATTTTGTATTATAGGAAGGAAAGGTGCGGTATATAAATAGTATAGTTGATATTTTGAGTAGGATTGGGAGTGAAGAGGAGCTTAGCTCTTTTGTTCCTTAACTAGTTCTGTTTCGGTAAGCAACAAATAATGTAAATTTTTCTTATTGTATTTTAATTATTATCTAGTGCTTATCCTCTTACCTGAGATGCTATTTTAAGTTACTTATTTAATTAAAGTAGCTTCTTTACTTTGATGGGAAAACGAATTAAAATTTTTCGGTTCCAATGTTACCTATTTTCATTTTTCACTTTGATGATTTATTCGAAGTATGACAATTATCATCAATATGTGAATAGTGAAATCTATGATAATTTGCATGAATTGTTTAGGGAATGTTATATCAATGATTCTTATTCCAAATCTTCTTCTTCTGCTAACATGTTGGGCACTTTCGATATTTGAAATAAGGTTTTATTTCAGCCACATAGTCTCAATGTTCATTTTAATAAGCTTAATTTTTTCTTTTTGCAACATGAATCGGAGGGAAGATAGATATTATATTTTGAAATAGTTTTAAAGAAAATATTAACAAGTATGATGTTCTTTTCGTTCGTGAGTTGAAAGTTTATCGAAAACAACCTTTTTATTTTTACGAAGTAGGAATAAAACTGCGCACGCGCTATTCTTGTCAAATCTCACATATGATATTATACTGAATTTGTTATTGTTATTGATATTTTTTCCGTGATTTAAAACAAAATAAAAGAATTGAGCCAAAGGATTCATCCTCACAAGATGAATATCCAATATCCGAAGTTGAAGATGTATGTGCTTCAATGGGTAATGAATATGTCTGACAAAATAAAACTAGGAAACTAAGAATTATGTAAATTTGGTAGAATTGAGCTAAATAATGTAAGAAAAGTACATTAATTTTCACATTTTGTTTAAAAGCAAATAAAAAGAAAGAGGGCAAATTGGTTCATGGACGGATCAAGTTATGACTTTTATTCGATCAATTTTGACCCAATACATTTGATTCAAGTAAATTTTGGACGGATTAAATGGACGTGGCTAAGGTTGATGTAATTCATTTTTGCCACCTCTAAATATATAAACATATATATACTTGGAAGTTGGAACTATCCATTTTGCCTAATGACAAAAGAACCCCCAAAAAATAAAATAAAAAGAAAGAAAGAGAGGGACCAAATATTAACACCCAATAAAAGGTTTGCGATGAAAAAAAGATTGTACAGGACACAAGCACGAAAGAAGGACCGTACGATCAAAAAGATCTACGGTCAGAGATAACCAAGTGATACACTCAGCTAAAGATTGTACAGGACACAAGCACGAAAGGAGGACCGTACGATCAAAAAGATCTACGGTCAGAGATAACCAAGTGATACACTCAGCTGGAAAATAGTAGTAGTACATTTTTCCTTCTTTTCCCGAAATCCCCTCATATATTTTTTCAACCCCCAAATCCGCCTCCTATTAACGCCGCTTCTACACTACCCTACCCCTCACATTCACAGCAAACCCTAGCCCGTCTCCCTATTCCGGTAAGTAGTGTTTAGCCTTTAGCTTTCTTCAAAAACCCATATTTAATCCATTTGTCAAATCAATTGGTGAATTTTTTGACTGTTAAATTCAGGTAGTCTTTCAGTTTGCTTCCTTGTTATTTACAGTATTTTGTTAATGTTGAAATACTAATTTGTCTCTTTAAGCGATTTGTACACTTCCTTAAGCATTTGACTTAAAGTTGTATTTTGATGGAATACAGTTAAGGCAGGGTATCGAAATTCAATCTATAAAAGTCTGCCAATTGTTGGAAAAAAGGTTGCACTCCATTTTTTGTGTGTGATGTTTTTTTTTTTGAAAATAATGGTTGTGTCTGGGCTTGCTTGCGCGCACCTTCATTATTCCACCGGTATCTGCTATTTGATAACACTGCCCACAAGGCTTCCACTTTTATTTGAGAAAGGTTACTAGCCTATCTCAACTATTTTTTAAAAAAATGGTAAAGTAGTCCAAGTTCAATTTTCAAATCATACAGTTTGATCTACCACTTTTGTCTCAATTCCCAAATGTTCCCGCTGCCAATATAATCGCATGTCCAACACCCCGATATGCTAAGGTTTATGTTTCGGCTACGTAATGGCCGTGGAGCTGAGAGGAAGAAGAAATGGAAAATCCTACAAAGTTCTCCCTCAAGAAATCATGTGGACATGTGGCGAGAAAGAGAAATAGGAGATCTCTCTAGGAATTTTATGAATTTTACGTACATATGGAAATCATTAGGCTTTCTTACTGAATAAATGATTAGTTAGAATCTTTATATAGGAATGGAAACCTTTAAGATTCTTTTATATGGAACTTCTGTATGGATCAATCGCCTTTTCTCAATGATATCCCTTATCTATAAAAAGAAGGCCACTTATTGAGTTATTGCACAAAACCACATCCTTAAGTTTGCAAAATTTGATATTGGATATCTTACCATAGGCATTTGAAGTGAATTATGTTTGTTGTAATTTGTTCTTGTCTGTGTTAGTAACAACGTTTTCGGGCTCTCCTTGTTCTGTTGATTGTTGCCAAAACAGGGTGCTCTTTGATATGTCTAGTAGGCAAGATTCAGATGTCGATGATGATTTCAGTGATCTTTACAAGGAATATACTGGCCCTGTTAGGTCCAACACAACTAAGGCACAAGAGATAACAGTGACAAACAAAAGGTCTCATGCTGGTTCCGATGAGGAAGAAGACGCCCCTGACCCCAATGCTGTCCCGACAGACTTTACTAGCAGGGAAGCAAAGGTTTGGGAAGCTAAATCTAAAGCTACTGAGAGAAATTGGAAGAAAAGGAAGGAGGAAGAATTGATTTGTAAAATATGTGGAGAGTCAGGCCACTTTACCCAGGTACTGCTTTGTATTAGGGTTCTTATTAGTGTTCTTGTTACTACTATTTTAGTTGGCTGAGGAGGGAAGAGAGTTTAAGGATCACAAGACTGATAACTGGAAATATTTACATTTAGTCAATCTATTCAATCTATAATTTCCTATATTTCTCACCCTTTCTCTGTAGGATGCTGATGCATCTCTTTTCCTGAGAATAATTGGTGAGAGAACTAGTTGGTTTCTTTTGTTATCACAGTTTTGCTCCTTACTATATCTCCGTTATTTTCTGGTGAAAGGTATTTCATTTTACATTTTTGTCAAGTTAACCACAGTCATCAGAGTTTGTAGACCAAGAGCTCCTTTTGTTTGTAGATATACTGGCTCAGCTGGCATAATGTAAACTGGCACATTTCACGCATTTTGTTGCTTTTTGCATTTTCCCCTCAATCTAACTTACTAATTTTAAAATCCTTTTTTGGGTGGCTTGGATAAGTAGAACAACAACAACAACCCAGTGAAATCCCACAAGTGGGGTTTGGGGAGGGTAGTGTGTACGCAGACCTTACCCCTACTCCGGAATAGAGTGGCTTGGATAAGTAGGAAAATTAAAAATCCCATGACATATCTTTCTTGCATATACTGGTAGCTTGGTAACTAAAACTGAGGGATGTAAGAGCAGTAGACATCATCTGACAATTTTTTTGCTTATGATCCTTCTGGCTAAAGGCATAACTAAAGTAAAATAAGTTAACCTCTGTTCATGCTTTGACTGGGATAATCCCTTTAATAGTCCCCGTAATCCTTTTCTTTTATGACAAGTTTTTTTGCATGCCGTTTCTATCAGCCAACCAGGAATCCTGAACATAAGATTTTGGTTGAAAATAGAAGAATATATGAATACTGTTTAACTATTATAAAATAGGCTGCCTATGCAAAAAAAAAAAGAGCGTGTGTGCCTTCCGTACTTGTCAAAAGTTTTTTCTCAGAGTCTCACAGAAGAGCTTATGCAAATGTCAAAAGTTTATATTGTGTGCTAAACAAACCACGTATAGGGATGTCCATCTACTCTTGGAGCAAATCGCAAGTCTCAAGATTTCTTTGAGAGAGTGCCTGCAAGGGAAAGCCATGTGAAAGCTTTATTCACTGAGAAAGTTATAAATCAAATTGAGAAGGATGTTGGCTGCAAAATCAAAATGGAGGAGAGGTTTATTATAGTTAGTGGGAAGGACAGATTGATCCTAAGAAAAGGAGTGGATGCTGTGCATAAAATTAAAGAAGAGGCGGACAAAAAGGGTCCTTCTAGTTCTCAGGCATCCAGATCAAGGTCACCTGAGCGCAGAAGTCCTGTTAGCTCTCGTATGGTACGTTCTGATTCTCAGAGATCCAATCACAGCCCTCAGAATGCATCACAATTACACCATAGGTACGGAAGACAAGAGAAGGTTGTTGATGATCGCGGTCATGATGGTTTTCACAAAATTGCAAGGGGTAGTTCACAAGGTAGGAAACCAAAGAGTCTTTCTCTTCGACAAGTAGAGCGCAATTTGACTTTTAGCCTTATTTCAGTTTCTTATTTTTCCCTTCTACATGTATCTTTGGCAATTAAGTTTTTTGAGTATGAACTTCACAGGCTTGTTCTGATGTTGATTTAATTTCATTCATAATGTGTGTTGCTTATCTTTTTCTTTTTGTGGCAGCAAGAGGTAAGTTCTTTTCAAGCATTCTGTTCGATTCTGATGTAACATTCCTGGTGGTCTCAAATGAAAGGATTATCCCACATTGAAAATTTTCACTGAAAGTATGTAGAGACTCGTTTGCTTCAGATGGGTTCACTATGAGATTTTAAGATACTTTGCCATGTTAAAGCTGCCATCATTGTTAGAGTTCTTCAATGGAAGTGCTTAACCCACTCTTCATTTGATGAAGCTTATGGTAATGATGGAGCTAGAGGTCGATCAAGCCAATCAAAGTCTCCGGCACGCCCCGCTTATATGAGTAACTCGTATAATTCATATGATGGTCATGGTCAGGGCAGGAGTGTTTACAGGTCTGATGGTTGGGATGCTGGTAGACGTGGTTCTGACATGAAATCTAACAGTAACTTTGACTACCCCTCCATTCCACAATCCTTAGAGAATCTTGAATTGGACTACCAAAAGGATGCTATAGATCTAGGAAGAATTCGGGATAAGGAAGAAGATGAAGAAAATCACAAGCATAGAGAGGTATGAAGTACCTAAAATTTGATCTTTTCTTTTCTTTTTTCCATTTTTGGATTGTTATTTTATTTCAAATTTTGCTTTGAAGAAAGACCTTCCGCTAAGCCTTAGTGCTGATGTGCTAAATTATTTTCCAGTCTTCATCTTGTTTTGGTTTATCAAATGTTAGGCCGTCAGAGAAGTAAGAGAGAACTACATGAAGAAATTGGCCATCCTTAGAGTTGAACATGCAAAGCAATGGGAAGAGTTTCTTCAACTTGATGCCCGGAGGAGGCAACAGCTGGCAGGACAGCATGTGTCAGCGTCTGGGTTTGGCAGTTACAATCAACAGAGCTATCAAGAGTATGAGAACTCAGCAGGTAATCCACATTATTCAGTACCCAACGTACCAGTGGAACCAAGGGGAAGGTATCCAAACCCTATGGATATCTACCATCCATCAAGGCCAGAAGACAGTTATGGCGACTTTCAGCGTCAGAGGCGTGATGATTATGGGAAAGCCTATAACCGATACTAAATGGGTAGATTGGAGTTTTTTTTTGGTGAGTTGTCTTAACCTTTTGGCAAGCTGAGAGCACTGAGTTTCATTTTGTTTCATCTAAAGCATTGGCTCTGCCATTTTTAGATGGGTGTGCCCTTCTCGTCATAAAATGTGTTCTTTTAAGGGTATATTTACGGAGGTTCTGAAAGTCAATATTTGGAATGGAGAAAATATTGGATAGGGTGGCAGATGATTGATTTTTATACAAGGTTTTGTAGCTTTTCTTGATGCATTTAATTAAATTAGCACTTCAAAATTTTCAGGATGCGAGTTGGTGGTGTCCTCGTTCACTGTGATGAATCAGTCTGGTTGTGTTTGGAGATGTAGAAAGATCAAGAAAGATTCTGAGTATGGTACTGTTTATGCTGTAAAGACAATTGAATCAGGTTGTTCTTATTTGGGGTTAAATTATATCTTTATCTACACTAGTGAAGTTTGAGCTTTGGCATGAGATTAGGAAATACCGAATATCATGGTATAATTGCCTGCTTTTCAGTTCTTTCAATAGAAGATGCTTCGAGAAGCTTTTCATCTTATGATGAGTGATATAATTTTCATAATGCTGGCAATTATAGAGAGTTAAATCTTCTCATGGATTTCTTTCTTCTCTCGGATGATAGTTTAGCAATTTTTCTTCCCTTGGATGAAGTTTTGTGATGACTACTTTCAGGATTCCATTGGGTAGAAGCTTTCCTCTAATAGTAACATGACACATTTACTATGCTGTTTATTTTGGAGAAAT